CCCCTGCTGGCCTGGTCGTAGGCAGCCATCTTGTGAGGGTGTGAGTGTTAATTTGCATATTGCCTCTATTGTATAGGATAATGACTAGAGGCCTGGTGCACGAAAATTCATGCACTGGAGCAGGGGTCCTTCAGCCCGGCCTGCCCCCTCTCACAGTCCGGGAGCCCTCAGGGGATGTCCTACTGACGGCTTAGGTCCCGCTCCCCCCTTGGGGAGCGGGACCTAAGCTTCAGTCTGGCCTCCCTCTGAAGGAGGTGACTGGGCTGATCAGGGGAGGGTGCCACCCCCATTACCCCACTGCTGCCGCCACTGCCGGCTGTGGCGGCTGCGAGGCCTGAGCCCCGGGCCTCGCAGTCACCAGGGCTCATGGCTGCCTGAGCCTACGGCTGCTGTGAGCCCCGGGCCTCGCAGCCGCCGGGGCTCATAGCTGCCTGAGCCCCAGGCCTTGCAGCTGCCTGAACCCACGGCTGCCTGAGCTCATGGCTGCCTGAGCCTCGGGCCTCGCAGCCCCTGTGGCTTTGTCCAATGGATGTCCAGAAGACGTCCATCCTAATTAGCATATTACCCTTTTATTAGTATAGATGTTTTATTTTACCTTATTTATTGAATTTATTAGGGTGACATTAGTTAATCAATTATATAGGTTTCAGGTGTATAATTCTATAACATATCTGTATATTGTATTGTGTGTTCACTACCCCAAGTCAAATCTCCTTCCATCACCATTTACTCCCCCATACCCTTTTCTACCTCCCCCCACCCCCTGACTGTCCCCAGCTTTAATGAATGTACTCTCTAAATCAAAGATCAAAAAAATAAATTAGTTCTATTTGGTTCTTAAGTCCACACTCTTTCCCCTGTAGCATTTATACTTAAACCATGAGGGTTTAGTAGTACACTAGGCTTGTAGTTCCATCAGTTAGTTCCAATTAGTTGAGGTGGAGTTTGGATATGAACCATAGCAGTCTGATCAGAGTCAGAGCTCTTAGCCTCCACACAGCTCTACCTGCTAAAAAAATACTAGTGACTAGCTTATAAGTTCCTGGCCCAGGAACAACTGGTGGGCCCAGGTAGCTCCTTGGAATACCTGGAGCCAGAGGGGACCCCATTGAAGAACATGCCAAACTCTGGCAGGGAAGTTGAAGCAAGCCTAGCTGCTGGCACTTTCTTCACAGCCCTGAACTCCTCTGAGACAGAGCTTGGGATGTAGGAATAATTAATAGCAGGAGAGGCCAGGGTTAATATCCAAAATATATAAGGAACTCATACAACTTAACAAAAGGAAGACAATCCAATTAAAAAATGGGCAAAGGACCTAAATAGACACTTCTCCAAAGAGGACATACAGATGGCCAAGAGACATGAAAAAATGCTCAAAGTCACAATCATCTGAGAGATGCAAATCAAAATGACAATGAGGTACCATTTCACACCTGTCAGAATGGCTACCATCAACAAACCAACAAATGACAAGTGCGTGAGGATGTGGAGAAAAGGGAACCCTAGTACACTGCTAATACACTACTCCTAATAGATTGGTGCAACCATTATGGAAAACAGTATGGAGTATTCACAAAAAATTAAATATGGATCTGCCATTTGACCCAGTAATCCCACTTCTAGGAATATATCCTAAGAAACCTGAAGCACCAATCAGAAAGAATTTGTGCACCCCTCTGTTCATAGCAGCACAATATACAACAGCCCAAGTGCCTATCAGTAGATGAGTGGATAAAAAAGCTGTGGTACATTTATACCATGGAATACTATGTAGCAGTAAAAAAGAAGAATCTTTTACCCTTTGAGACAGCATGGAGAGACCTGGAGAGTATCATGCTAAGTGAAATAAATCAGTCAGAGAAAGTCAAGTATCACATGACTGCACTCATATGTGGAATCTAAGTAACAAAATAAACTGATAAATGGAATGGACCCAGGGACATGGAAGAATGGAACAGAGTGCAGAATCCCAGAGAGAAGGCAGGGGAGAGTGGGTGGGTGAGTGGGACCTTGAATGCATAACCCATGGACACAGACAAAAGGGTGCTGAGGGTCTGGGGCGGGGATGGGGGTGGGCTGGAAGGGGTCAATGGGGGGAAAGGGGGGGACATATGTAATACTATCAACAATAAAGAATTATTTTTAAAAAAATAATAAAAAAAATAAAATCCCCCCCCCCCTCAAATAATAGGAGGCCAACTTATCAGTTGCAGTGTTGAGATGTGGCCACCAGGAGGCAGCAGAAAGCTGGGCTCTGAGCCAGGGAGGGGCTGGGATGCCCACCTTCTATCCTGGTCTTTGTATTTCAGGACTCACTCGCTTTGACCTGCTGGGTGATTTTGGACGCTTCAACTGGCTGGGCAATTTTTACATCGTGTTCCTCTACAATGCAATCTTTGCGGGCCTTACCACTCTCTGTCTGGTGAAGACCTTCACCGCAGCTGTTCGGGCAGAGCTGATCCGGGCTTTTGGTGAGAGGGAGTGGGAGTCACAGGCTGGTGGGGTGGAGCCCTCTGGAACAGTGGTCTTTCCAGCAAGGGAAATGGCAGGCTTTCTGCTTTACTTGTAACATGCTTCATCCATCCATTTTGTGGTTTGGTTGTCTTATCCCAGAGGTCTGGACATATGTCCTACTTTTGACTGTCCGCCTTCCCTCTTTTCCAGGACTGGACAGACTGCCATTGCCTGTCTCTGGTTTCCCCAGGGCATCTAGGAAGACCCAACACCAGTGACCTCTAGTTGGGGGTGAGAGGGGAAAAACTGGACACTGCCATCTGCTACCCAGTCCTGAAGCGACACCAGGAGTGGGTGATCCTTAAGACCTGGAATCTGAGAGGGGTGGGTGGCAAAGGGGAGCTGAGCCATCTGCACTGTTGCATAATCTGAGCCAGAGTTTGGGACCAGGCCCCCTTGTTTTTCCAGATTTAACTGTGGGCCTTAGCATGGGGTGGGACTGGGTGACTTGGGTCTGGCTCCTGGTCTCAAATCCGTTAACACATCAATCTGCCTCACTGCTATTCCAGGCCATGCCTGTAGCCATGTTTACATGATTTGATGTGCAATAGGGTTGGGTGGGGACAGGGGAGGGACTGAGCAGGGGCAGATGTGGGGGGCAGATTGTCTCCCTTTGCCTCTGGTCCAGAAGAACCTAAGCACTGTGCTATCCTGGAGGGACTTTGGACCACCAGAGAGGTGAGGGTGTGGGAAAGAAAAGGCCACAACCATCAGCAATAAAGTTGATCCCAAGGTTTGCTTTGGTTTTTTTAAAAGGCTCTCTCTGTGTTTATTTGAATAGCCTTGCTCTCCCCGCAAGTCCTGAGTCTTTCAACTGAGAGAAACAGAAGGGTTCTGTCCACCATCCTTTCCCTTCCCCTCCATCTGCATTCTTAGTGTTCTTTGAGGACTTGGGTCTGGTGTTAGGCCAAACAATTAGGCAGTTGGGAGCTCCTCTCCCTTAGCCTAAAGCTGACTGGTCCCCTGACTCTCCTTATACTCATGACCTTGTTTATGTGCCTTGGTTATTGGGGGTAGGTAGGCATGGGTGTAGGAATAGGATAAGATCCCCTTGTGTACACACACACACACACACACACACACACACACACACACACACACACTCAGCCCTGTCCTCCCTGATTTGACTGTTGGATGTGGAGTAAAAGAAGTGGCTAGCTAACAAAGGTCTGTGACCTACCTCAGAGAAGAACCTAACTCCATCTTTCCAGAGGCTATCAGTGCCTTAAGTACTATGCAAGCCCCCTGCCATGTTGGGGCTAGGGACAAAGTTTCAGCTCAGGGTTATGTATATGTTGCATTGAACAACATTTAGGGGCACCACTCACCTCATAGTCTTAATGTATAGTTATGACTATTTTCTTGCAAATGGCAGGTGTATTGAGGAAGGGGTGCTTTTTTCCTAATGTACACAAAGGTGCCTATAAGTGCTAGCTATGGAGCTGCATGAGGGGTGAACATGGAATACAAAAACAAACAAACAAACAAAAAAACCCACAAAAAACAGTGTAGGTGCTGTGCCATGAATATTTGCTGAGCACTCTACTATAGGCCAGGCACTTAACCATGGGGTTACATGATAAGTTTGTGCTTAATTACTTTGTCTAGTAAGGGTGACAGATAATTCTAACACTGAACCACAATAGATGGCAGTTAATTACTGGTTTTCCAGGAAATAGAGGTGGTCAGTGTCAAGACATCAGAGAAGCTTCTTAGAGAAAGTGATTTCTAAAGGAGAGTAGATTGGTGGGTGATGTGTAGCAGGCTCAAAGCCTCTGGGATAAACCTGAGTGACTGGAAGCAGAGCTGCAGGGGGGTCCAGAGAGGAAGAAGCTAGAGAGGTGGCTAGATGAAAGGTGAAAGGAAACCAGTTAGAGAGTTCAAGTAGCCACTGCCCTCCAGCAACTTCCAATTGACAAGTTATTCATTTAAAAAGAAGTTGGGTGTCTAGCAAGGACAAAGGGGCCAAATTTTGAAGTTCTAAAGTAGACTATAACTTGAAGCTCTGTTGCTCACTCTAGGGAAAACTCCCAGCAGAAGGGATGGAAATGGCAGAGGTTTGGGGAAGACCACGGAGAGGCAAGGGAGGCTCTGGTTGTATGCCCAAAGAGCATGGTTGACTTTGGGCAGGAACTGGAACCAATATTTCTGGATAGTAGCAGAGGACATGGCCTGCCAGGGTAGGCTTTGGGAGAGCAAAGATCCAGTTCAAATATCAGAGGAGGATGGTTTGGTACCAAGCGCAGACTGGGAGGTAGAAGGATGCTTCACCAGACAGCCAAGGACTGTAAAGCTGTGAGGGTTTCCTAGGCAAGTAACTACCTGGTTTCCAGGATGGGACACACCTCAATCTCAAACTGGACCCGTGGTGACCGGCTAGAGCCCCCGCCCTGGTGGTAGGGGTCGGGCCGGTCCTGGGCGGGGGGCGGGGCCAGGGGGCCACTTAAGGCGGAGCCCGGGCATTGTGGCAGCGCCGGAGCCTGGCGACAGAGCCAGGCTGAGCTGGCAGCCACCCACGACCCCACTTCCCTGCTATGATGGCCCGCCTGTAGCAGGTTACTGAACCCCCGCGGGCATGTAGGCAGAGTAGCGGCAGCCAGGTGCGTAGAGCCACAAGAGCTCTAGGGCACTCTGGGGGCAGTTCTGCCTGCTGCGCTCTCTGGTGCCGGGGAATGCCCAACTGCCAGGCGAGCTGGTAAGGATAAGAACGTTCCCTTTTGGCCCGAGTCCGCTGCATCCATGGCGCTGCTGGCCAGTCTGGTGCTCCTGTGCTGCTTGGCACTTCTGACGCTGCCAGCCCAGAGCTGCGGCCCGGGCCGGGGGCCGGTTGGCCGGCGCCGCTACGTGCGCAAGCAGCTTGTGCCGCTGCTCTACAAGCAATTTGTGCCCAGCGTGCCCGAACGGACCCTGGGCGCCAGTGGGCCAGCCGAAGGTAGGGTTGCCAGGGGCTCCGAGCGCTTCCGGGACCTGGTGCCCAACTACAATCCTGACATCATCTTCAAAGATGAGGAGAACAGTGGCGCAGACCGCCTGATGACCGAGGTAAGGTGGGCCTCTCCTCACCTGCGCCAGGGCACTGCCAACTTCTCTGCTTTCCTATTGCAGCCCCGGTGGGTGAACTGGGCTTCATGTCTAGAAACCTTAATCTCAAAGACCTTCCTCCACCCCACTCCTCCCCAAAATAAAACTTCTGCTGGCTGGACGGAGTGATCAGGAGAGATCCAAACTGGGAGAGACTTGGATGGGGAGAGGAAGGAGGGACTAGTGAGAGTGAAGCTGGGAGAGACTTCGAAGGCGAGGGCGGGGAAAGGGGGATGGCGGCAGGCGAGACGGGAAATGGCTGAGGCGTGGACCGGGGGTCAGCTACCGAGCCAGGCAGGAAGGGCTGGGGTGAGCTGGGGGCCAGAAGCTGGCTAGGCAGTAGACAGAAAGCTATGCCCTTAGCCTGGCTTTCTGACCTGATTTTGGAAAATCTCTGTGAGCCAAGAAGACTGAAGGAGGCTGAGAAAGGGTGGCCAAGAGTCAGGTCACCGGGCCATCTACCTGAAGGAGGGGCCGGGTGGGAACTGTCTCTGGCATGGGGGAGGCATCCTAGAACTGGGGCAAGGTCATTCCAGAGTCTGAACGACTGTCTTGTGGTGAAAAGCAGTACTCAATCAGAAGAACAGAGGGACCCACCTGAGAATCAAAGGGTTCCCCTGTCCCTCAAGCCCAGTTTATTTCAGGGGCTTTTGTTGGAATTTTAAAAATAATATAAACTCAACTACCACGTATTGAGCATCTGGGGCAGATTAGAACTTTACCAACCGAGGGTGAGGTGAGTAATGCTTTGGGAGAGAAGGCCCACCTCTGGCCAATGATCTCAAATGTCGGAACTGGAGGAAATTTGGAGGTCACATTCTTCCACCATCACCCCACCTCCCATTTTACAGTGAGAGCTAGGCCCCAGGAGGAAAAGTGATTTAATCAAAGTCTTAAAACTAATTAGTGACATGGCTGGGACTAGAATTCAGGACTCCTGATTCTAAGTCCTATACACTTTCCATTACACCACCTAATTGTGTATGGAGTGGGGAGGTGGGGGGAGAGGGAGGGGTACGGATTTCCTCTGATTAATTGCAATAGTTTTCCAGGTTACTTTGTTAGGAAAACCTGTCTAGGGGAGAAAGAATCCCTTCTTTCACCCAGAGATTGGGAAGGGTCGCTCCTTTCCTTCTTGGTCATGGAATGCTTCCCCTGGCTGCCACCTGCAGCAGAGTGGGCAGAATAAGGGACAGACCCGGGAGGGGCTCTGACAGGCTTGGGAACCCTTTGGGTCCTGCTTATCTCCCACACCCTGGCTGCAAAAGGCCTCCATTGAGTTGGTTCTGCACTGGGCTGCTGCCCCCGCAGGTCAAGGCCTCGGGCCTCCTTAAGGGACAAAACGACAAAAAGTTGGAAGGAGTTACCACTTTTCCTGTCTTTCCCCTCCCCTCCTCTCCAACCCTGCGGAGGTGTAGAAGACTCAGCAAGAAGGGCAGGGGGAAAGTGTCCCTCTGGCAGTTAGGAGAAAGCCAAGTCCAAGGTGAGAGGTCGGAGAGAAGAAGAAAAGGAAGCTGTCCTCTCTGCGCCTCCTCCCGCCGGGTCCGTGCCATGGTGCGCGCCAAGGTCTCCGGCTCCCAGAATGGAGCGGCCAAGATAACCGCGGTCTCACTCCCCCGGGCGCAGGCTTCCAGCCGCTGCTGCTTTTCCTCCTCTCCACTCCCACCCTGCAGGGGGCCCCCCAGATCAACACCAGGGCGGCTCCGGCTATTCTCAGGTGCTACTCCCACGCCTCTCTGGGCTGCATCTGGACCAGAGATGGAGAGATGGCAGCTTTCAGCACTGGCAGAGCCTGAGCTGGAACCCGGAGGTCTGGCCGCGCTGGGGGAGGGGACTGGCTGGCCGGAGCAGGGATAGGGGGCGCGGCTTTCTGCCCTTTCCTCTCCCTGAGCCCGGGTGGCTGAAAAGCGCCTTTGTGGATGGAGCTGCTGAGTCCGCTTCTCCCGGCGGGTCCCCGGCCTCAGCCCGGGATTCTCGCTTGGTTAAGTCATCCCGGAGAATGGCCATTGTACTTCGTGCAGCCCCCGCCACCCCAACCCTTTTTCCAGCAGCCTTGATCCCGCACGGCTCCGCTAGGGCACCTCTGTGGGGGGCAGTCGCACTAGGAAGGGGTTAATGCTAGGGGCCGAAAGGAGGAGGAGGAAGGAAGGAAGGAAGCGATGCCCGGTGCCAGGGAAGGCAACGAAACAAAAGATGAATCAGGCGGAGGGAGGGCAGCCGGGGCTTGCGGTGGGGGCCAGCAAACAGGAGCTCCTCTCGGGGAGTCAGGCTGTTCAACCCCTCCCTGGCCAAGCTGCCACCCGCCCTCTAAACCTTGCTTTCTCCCAGGTTGAGCTGAAGTCCCAGAATGAGTTGGGGTGAGGAGCCAACATTAAAAATAGGAAAAGAGCTAGATAGAGGCGCCTCCTGTCTCAGACTCAGACGTGACCCCACAGTTGTCCAACGATGCTTTGAAAAGGGCGTGCAGATAGGCGACTACACCTATGCAGGTTCTCACTTGCCCAGGGCATTCAACAGCGGAGAGGGAATGGGGTGGGGATTGGAGGCAGAAGCATCTACCCTCCCATTCAAGTCGCTTTTGCCCCCAAGGTGGTGGTAGTGGTCATGAGGAGACTGACACCTTCATTCCTGACAGCGATGTAAGGAGCGAGTGAACGCGCTGGCCATTGCTGTGATGAACATGTGGCCGGGAGTGCGCCTACGGGTGACTGAGGGCTGGGATGAGGACGGCCACCACGCTCAGGACTCACTCCACTACGAAGGCCGTGCCTTGGACATCACCACGTCTGACCGCGACCGCAACAAGTATGGGTTGCTGGCGCGCCTGGCAGTGGAAGCCGGCTTCGACTGGGTGTACTACGAGTCCCGCAACCACGTCCACGTGTCGGTCAAAGCCGGTACAGTGTGTGTGTGTGTGTGTGGGGGGGGGGGTGGTGAGGCCCGCCCAAAGGGAAACTGAGGCTGCACAGCCCCGTTGCGAGTCTAGGGGAGACCAAGGTGGCTGTTAGTGTTATAAACCACCCTTCCATTTCTGCCCAGGTTGAGGCCAGATCCCTGGGAAATTGCAGTTGTCCCGGGACTGCTGAGGTCTGCGCTGGGCTTGACCACATCTTTAAGAATCTGGGCTAACATTCTGGAACCACTGGACTTCATCTTATCCTCTCTATGCTTGTTCCCTGCAGATAACTCCCTGGCGGTCAGGGCAGGCGGCTGCTTTCCGGGAAATGCCACCGTGCGCCTGCGGAGTGGCGAGCGGAAGGGGCTGCGGGAACTGCATCGCGGAGACTGGGTGCTGGCGGCAGACTCCGCAGGGCGGGTGGTGCCCACGCCGGTGCTGCTCTTCCTGGACCGGGACTTGCAGCGCCGCGCCTCTTTTGTGGCTGTGGAGACCGAGAGGCCCCCCCGCAAGCTGTTGCTCACACCCTGGCACCTGGTGTTCGCCGCCCGAG